TAGAATTCATGCCAAACTCTCACGGCGTTACATTGATCACAATCCACCAAGGAGAGAGTACAGCCATGCTGCGCAAATGCACCCTACAACGAGCGAGTCTATCACTTGACCGTCAGGCCTGCTCTGATGCCTCGGGCCTCACCCTTGTGTACGGGACAGAGTATGTAGCCAAACCAATCTCAGAAACCCAGGAGCAAAACACGGGATAGACGTGCGCATATCAAGATCAACTCGAATTTCTACGTGGCGAGCTAGCCCAGTCGCCTCTCCCAATGCATGGCCTCCAACGCCAGAAATGACCATCGAATGATCATGTCACCCTTAAACGCCACATCCATCGTTGACCACCCTCAGCGAGCAACAACAAGACTTACTTGCCATCACGACCGTCCAACCTGCGTCCTTCGCTGGGTCCCTTCTTCTCAACATTGGGCTTTTCGTCCGCGTCGCCCTTACGCTTCACGGCGCCTCCACGCAACGTCTGTCCCTGGCCTGCGAAGTGGGGTCGGTTGGCATTTTCCTTCTCGCGCTCCTTATCAGCATCTGTTTTGACCGGTTTGATCTCATAGCCAAAGAAGAGCTTGTTGGGCGGGAGACGGAGAGGCGCTGGTCCAGCCGTTCGACGAGGCAAGGGACCAGTAGGGACCGGGTTAGCTGATACACCGCCAATGGGGGTGGCCGACTGGGGTGTGGACGTCTTGCTGGCCTTGCCAGGCTTCAGTCGCTGGCCTTCACCATAAAAGTTGGAAATGTTGGCTGTGACAGACGGTGCGATGGCACCGTAGTTGATGGCCTGAGCCATGGTGCCCTGGCTGTGCAGGAGGCCGCCGGCGGGCAGACCGCCACGTACACTGCGAGGGGTGCTGGTGCCGCTACCGCGGGGCTGGCGCTCGGGCTCGACGTAGCCGACGGGCGGCGCAAAGTCAACCTCGACATCCGTCTCAATCATGCTGACACCCATCTTATCCGTCTCGGGCTTGACCTCGAGAACAGCAACATCGTAGACTTCGTCATTGTACGAAAAGTTGAACACATCACCCTTGGTGAGAGTGGCGAAATTCCTAAACGCCTTCTCCAGCACGGCCTTGGGATCGCTGATATCGAGAAAATTGACCGACTGAGGCTGGAGCTTAACATGCCTCGCAAGCTCCAGAGAGGTCGTCTTGATTTGTATGAGATCGCCAACATCGAGGCCCAGTGTTTGCATCATCTGCAGCTGTTAGCATGACGACTTGGCGGCTACCAGTGATTTGGGATGTCAGCATACCCATTGGGGCAGGTACGCCTTGCCCTCCTCGGCCACAAACTCCAGCACACCGGCGTGCGAGTGCTTGCCCTTTTCCCCGTTTATAATCTCCATGATCAGGGGCCACTGTACGTGGAGTTTGGAAACCTTGTCGAGAGCAGATGGCGGGAGAAAGATCTTGGATCCATAGTTGAGGTCAGGTCGCTCGGGCCCGGGGGCGAAGACCATAGGATAGCATCGGTAGTATTCGTCGAAGCGCTGGACAATCGGCCGGCGGCCACCACGGGAGAACTGGTACATGTTGACCTAGCTGTGGTCAAAGGTCGAGGCGGAGTTGTCGAGGACGATTAGGACTGGTGCGGAGGGGCGTGACTCGAGCTACACCAACAGAAAGAATGTGCACTGCTGGTTGCTGGCGAAAATGAGCGAAGGATCTGAAGATGACAGTCTGTTGATGATCAGGATTGAGTATCAGAGGTGGCGGCTTGTTGTATGAAGGAGGTGGGTTGCCGTTTGTCTGTTGAAGCAGAAGGTCGGCGGCTTTAGTGGGATGTGGAAGCTGCTCGAGGCAGCTGATGAATGACGACCGACTGAAGTGCGCTGGAGTTCCGCATGCTCCACATGGACACTGGGAAGATTAGCGCCCCGATTCGAAGCTGACCCTCCTCTACTCGAAAACATATTCCTTATATCACCACTAGAACTCCGTGCAACGAGCTTAATTTGATTAGTTAAATATAACTAATTGAGAGGTTAGCTTTTCGGATTCAGTTTCCACCGAACACATCTTTGCGAGCTCCCAGAATACGGCTCTTTGGTGAGAATGTACACAGTATAGCTCGCATAACTACATACATCAACACGGACCACTGTGACTGAAGGTACCTAGGTAGCTACTTCAACTCCGTCATCAAGAGCTCTCTACGAACAGACCCCACTCACCATCAAAAGCTCTCCCGAGCTCCTCCAAGCTCACGACCTGCCGCACACCTCCAGACGCCACGTCCCACCCTCAACAGCGTGCCAATCGCCTCACGCACTTACGACCATATCCCATCATTGCCCCTCCCCATGGCATCCCGCCACACAGCCGCGCGCCCCAAGCGCGCAGGCGAAGACTTCGCCCGCACCCATCACACGACACAGCAGACCCCGACTCGAAAAAAGTCAAGTTCGACGTCCGCAACCCCTCCGCCCTCGCCGCCGACGCGCGTGAGGAGGACGCCGTCCTCGAAGCCGACGTCATCGGCGGTGGCGCGGCCACCAAGCGCGGCGCCGTCAACCTCGACGGCTACGACAGCGACTCGGATGGCGAGACGTTCAATACGCGCGCCGACAAGCGGGCGCTCGGCAAGGGCGAGGCCAACATTCTCGAGCAGCTGGACAATTACGACTCGAAGAGCGCCGGCGGCGGATCCAAGGGTGCCAAAGCCAATGCGGCAGACGACGATGACGACGATGACGACATGTTTGCCGAGCCGGAGGATGCGCCAAAGGAGGCTGCTGGGGCGCCTGAGTCGACGGTCGAGGCGAAGAAGAAGGCAAAGGCTGTGCATTTCTTACAGGATACCGATATAGAGGGGCAAGACATGCAAAGCAAGAGCGGCGGACAGATTCGCCTGGATGACCAGGACTCAGACGACGACGAGGAAACGCGCGACATGGCCATGCAGGAGGAGGGTATCGACGAAGAGGTCGGCCTCGGTGGCCTGAAGCGGAACGCGCCAAAAGTCGAGGCCTTCAACATGAAGGACGAGAAAGAGGAAGGGCGTTTCGACGCGGACGGAAACTTCATTTCGCAAAGCGGTGGATCCAGATGCGCAACACGACAAATGGCTCGACGGCGTCAGCAAGAAGGAGATGAAGAAGGCGGCCGAGGCCCACGAGAGGCGCGAGGCCGAGGCGAGACGGTTGCGAATGGAGAACGACAGCTTGTTGACGACAGATATTCTGAAGAGTCTGATTCTGAAGCTGGATAAGGGCGAGACTGCACTGGAAGCACTCGCGAGACTGGGCAAAGGACAAGCGAAACAGAAGAAAATCCCGAAATGGAAACTCAAAAAGCAGAAAGGAGGCGCGGAGGGCATGGATGTCGACCAGGCGGAGAAGGCAGAGGACCCTGAGCAGAAGAGGATACGAGAGGCTATTGCAGCCATCACTGACGCGGCTGATAAATTGTTGAGCCGAGATCGTGCTGAGATCTACGATGAGGAACGAGAGGTCCTCCTCAGAGAGTGGCAGCGCGAAACCGGCGAGGATTGGGTGGAGCCGACGCAAGAGGCAGAATCGCAAGAGGGCAAGATGTGGGAATTCCGGTGGGTGGATGGCCGCGATGACGCGGACAAGCAAGGCCCATTCGACAGCCAGACCATGAAAGCATGGCAAGATGCTGGGTACTTCGGAGAAGGCGTCGAGTTCAGGCCGGCAGGCGATGAGAATGAATGGAGCAGGGTCGCAGGCTTTGCGTAGCAAGATTAAAAAAAAAAAAAGATACCACTTTCAAGCACGTATGGCTGCTACTAAAGACAGTGACATTCAGTCCAAACCAAGCATCACAGCGATGCCATTCTCTTGTTGTATGGAACAGTATTCTACCGCCTTCCCGGCGAAACGCATCCGATTTTACGTCCACCCCCTTAACGCCAAACTGCAAGGATCAAATACTCAGCTCACGTCCATCGCCTCACCGTGGCCATTGGTGACGGTAAAGTCGACACCGCCATCATTGCCTATCAGGCGCTTCTCCGAGTCGGTCACAAACTTGACGCTGCGGTCGGGGTCGTAGAACAGGAAGAAACTCCGCTGGACGTCGGCGACGTCCACCGCCTTGAACTTCCGCTTCGCGCTGATGAGCTGCGACGTCGTAATGAGGTTGCTGGGCGTAGCGCAGGCCGCCCTCCTGGCGGATCTTGGTCAACAGAGCCAGAGCGTCAGCAGACACCTCGACCTCTTCCTCCGCCGCCCGAAGGGTCAGGATCTGTTTGATCTCCTCGGGGTTTATACTTGTGAGGTGTGGATTGATGGACGGACAACGATCAAGAAAATCGGAGGGGGAAGGGCCGGTGGAGGGGCTCTCTTGTAATCGGGTTTCCCTCGAAATGCGCGAAGTTGCCCCCTGTTGCTGGCCCATCCATTGACGAATGGGGGCCCAAGTCGTCCTTCAAGGGCCCGGTTTGATTGTAGGGAAAAGCACTCCGAATATCAAGCATGGTGCACCTTCATCGATGAAGAGCCACAACCGGGGAAACAAATCTCGGGCCTTTGCCCCTCCCTCCTTTCCACTCGCCGAACCCTGGGTGTTTGATCTGGGTCGGCGGGATTTTCGGCTTACGGGATCCTCGCCCCGTGTCCGCCCGGAAGAAAGGAAGAGCCAAGGAAAGCCCTTGCGTCCCGCGAAGTTGATGACATCAAATCTCGTGCAGGGGTGGACAGTGTGGACGGACCTCCCTGCGCTTTTGGAGCTCGCGGTCAGGGCACTGCAGAAACTTGTGTCCACGCCCATGGCGTCATAGTCGCGCGAACGAGCGTAGGACCGGCCCAGCTTGGTGATCTTACCAGAGGACTTGTCGATGGAAAATGATGTCGCCGGACATGACGCGCTCTTTGGGTCATGGCGTCGATCATCTTGGTACCCATGTCATAAACAGCTTCCATGTCGGGTCGTCTTGATGGTGAGCTTGCCCTGCTTGGCGCCGCCCGTCACGCTGCGGTCAATCTGGATCTCAACAACCTCGCCCTCCATAATCTCGCTCTCCTCTTTGATGCGGACGCCAATCGACTTGCGGAAGGCCTGGGTCAGGGCCTCGGTCTTGGACATTTCGAGGGAGAAGATTTCGGAGGCAGCGAGACTGGTGAAGGGGACGTCGGGGCCGAGGGACTGGGCCATACCCATGGCGATGGCAGTCTTGCCAGTGCTACAGACAGACTGCGTCAGCAAGCGTCACAGGATGAGGCAGGACGCAGAGGGTGGTTGAAAGGTGTACCTGGGGGGGCCGGCAATCAGCACGGCGCGTCCGGCAATCTTGCCTTCCTTGATCATCTGAAGAATGACGGCGGCGGCCTTTCGCGCCTTTTCTTGTCCGACAAGGCCCTGCGAGGAGGTTCGCGGTTCGAGTGATGTGCCATCAACACCAAGGCCTCGGATGTGGGAGTGCGCGGCGATGAGGTTCAGCCCTCGAAGCTCCTTTGATTCGGAGACGGTCATCACAGGCTACACATTGATGAGCGAGAAGGCCACACAGTGGCGACAGTTTGATTGGAAGTATGACGTACCGCGGCCATCTTGGATGCGATATTGTGGAATCGCTGTGGTGAAAGTGATGCAGAGTCTCCGTGGTGATGAATGCGACAGGTTACGCAGGCTGGATCGACTTTGGGGGGTGCTAGGATGCAGAGACCTTGACGTTGCGCGGCAGAAAATGTCCAGAGCGCGCTTGCGGCGTCTGTAGCCTGCACCAGGGTGGATACGCATGTCTAGGCCCACACCTGTTTTTCTATTTCACCCAGGCACATCATCAAGGCTCACAGCCAGCCGCGACGCCCACGACGCGTCGCATTGGTGAAGTCCATTTAATAATGCCTTGCCGTATCTTCCAGGGTCCCACACTCAAAGACCCCCCCCCCTCTCCTCCCCTTGGCCGGCTCCCCGCTTTCTGTCTCCTTTTGTCGGCCTTCCAACTCGCATCACACATTTGCACAGCACGGGGCGGCATGAGCACGCACCAGCTCTAAGTACCTATATTGCTGGGCAGACGACTCTTCCAGCCAGTCTGACCAAAACCCACCCACTGTTGCATGTTATCTTCAAGGATCACATGAAAACTGCCTCCACACCCCTGAAATATTGCAACGCTCGCCTTGATAGCTCACCTCCTGACGTCGTCTGCCTGCTTTCTTTCTCGTATGATTAGAAAGGAAGGCGTTCGTTCCAGCTCCCTAACAAATTCTCACAAGCCTGGGACCAACCGCATACCAGGTCATCGAGGACCACGCCTGCCACCTGAAATTGGTGGTCCTCTTGGCAAAAAGAGCTGACCAGGCCAGCAGGCCAGCCTCTGAGAACCCACATCCCATCCCATCACTTACACCTGGGGCTTGACCAGGGTCAACCCGCGCCGGCCCAACCGGGGGTCTTGTTGGCGCTAGAAAGCAGTTCCAAAATCAGCCTGGTGGTCCTCGCGACCACCAGGTGCTTCGGTTGTGACGCATCTCAGCCCTTTGATTCCCACCCTTCCCTTCCCTTCACTCGGTGGGACGGCGTTAGGCAGATACTTTCCTGCAAGACTTGCACTCGACGGCAGTCAATTCTGTGGCATCAAGCGTTTCTCGTTCCTCTCTGCTTTCCGGTCTTTCGTCGCAATCTCGATACCCCTCGTACCCGTTTGTTTGTCCTTCACCTTTAAGATACCCCGACGACGTACCGTTCTTGCCTTCTCCGCCGGCATTCATAGCATAATATCAGCACCTGCCTCCTTGTTTCCGTTTGATTCGCCAATATTTCGAGTTCTTTCGCAGTGGTTGAACCTCGCACGACGACAGCAACACGCGGCGTGACAACACAAGCGCTGACCCTCACTTACCTATGACATACCTGCATCATGTCGAGAAGGGACGACGCGGGCCGTATGAGCGCGTACAACTATGCCGACCGGCGCGACGGCGAGAGAAGCGGGTACGGTCAACAACAAAGCGTTAGGGTCAGAAGCCCGCTGAGGGACAGCACCTTGCGGGATCGCAACCGCGACTGGGAACGGAACCTTGATCGCGAGCGCTCTCCTGGCGCGAGTGGCCGACGCAACTCGACAGATTTTCGCAAAGACCACCGAGACGGCGCACAGGGTCGAGACAGGTTCCAGCAGAGCGGCGGCTTCTCCCCACCACGTGGTCCAGCAAGCCATCGCCCGCAAGAGCCACCTCGGGGTACGTCTTGTTTGAGTTTGCCGGCGAGCCCTCGTGGACTTCAGGAGCTAACGATGGCATGCCGTGCCACAGGGCCGGGCTTGAACCGATCCGCGACAGCGCCCAATGCGTCCGCATTTAAAGCAGGTCCCCTATCCACGGCAGCGCAACAATCCGACGCCGACGTCCTCCTCCGCCTTTTTCGCAACGTTGTGACTCCAGTCACAGATCGCACATTGCTCAAAAAACAAAGACAGGAGGTCGAGAAGGCATGCGTTCGACAGAGGCTGGAACTTGAGAAGGGCGCTTCCAAACACAACGATTTCCCTTCGGTGCGCGACGTGCATGCCCATGCTACCAAGAAACTGGACCTGAAAATGGAGATGTTGAATAAAGAACTCGAGCACAACAATACGACCCTCAACAATGAGACAAGAATCTGGCTCGAGAAACTGCTCGAGTTGGCGGCCCATACTCCACCAACCCATGCCCAGCCACAGCAACAGGGTGGCGTCGACTCTCGGCTTGATGCTCTCGAAAAGCGAATGGTGGACCGGGAGACGGCGTGGGAAGAAAAACAGGCGGCTCGAACAAAACAGCATGATGATGCGCTCGCGAAACATGCAGAGCGGATCTCGGTGCTTGAGGCCAACATGATTGATGCCAAGTCTCATATCCAGAGCTTGCAGAATGAAAATGCAGCCCTGAAATCAGGACTCGAGGTTGCGGGAGACTCGTCTTTGAAGCCTACACCCGAGGTCCCAGCGTTGGCTGCCTCGCAGACGTTGCAGGCCTTGGTTGACACAATGCGAGACGAGATGCGAGCTCTCACGGCTAAGGTTGATGAGGCCACAGCACCTCTTGCTGACACTGACATGGAGTTTATCAACGACTCTTGTACTGACATCAATGTCAAGCTGCCCGTTCTCGAATCCGAGGTCAATCGGCTGAAAGAGATGGAATCCAAGCTCGTCACCATCGCACAGCATGACCAAAGCTGCAGCACGGTGCAGGACAAGCTGAATAACATGGCGGTACTGTTTGGCAACCTGATCAAGAAGGACAGGGCAGAGACAGACGCGCGCTTCGCATCGCTGGAAACGAGCGGCCGACAGCTCTCCTTACTTGCGCCTGGACCTGCAGCATCAGCAACCTCCCAACATGGTTCGGCGGCGCCCGATGCGCTCAACACGGTCGAGGAACGCGAGCGAGCACTCGAGGAAGCGAGACGGGGGCGAGCCTGCGACAGGTGCAGCTAGTGCCCCCTCGGGCGTCAGAAGCTCGATTGACATGCAGGCTACGACAAACAGACTCCAGGGCGCTCGAGGCCAGGGGTCGAATCCCACGAGAGTACGTTTTTGACCAAGGACAAGCTCATCGAACATGCGCAATGGGCGGCAGATAATGTCGGCCGCCTGGGGGGCCGCACGAACCGATCTCGAGAGCTCGCTGCACTGCCAAAC